TGATTTTGTATAAGTTTTGAACTTGTTGATTTTGGAAAGCTTGTGAGGACATAAATTATGTGATGGTTAGAGTTTGGCTCTAGTACGGAGACAAGAGTCTTCTAAGTCATAAGTGCGCACTAGGTAGTACCTTGTGGGTCGTAATTACCCGAAAATACTTGCTTGGTCTAACGACTCTATGTCCTAGTCTTTCCACTATTTGATTTCGCATTTAATTTCAAGTTGTTAATCATGGATTACTTGTAGCTTGAGAATTAATGTTTACTTGGATATTTGAATCCTATTCAGTATACTTGCTCCACGAGTTTAAATTGTATTTAGTATACTTGTGCTATGTATACTTGTCATGTGTGCAATCCTATTAGCTTAGTATACTTGTGTCAGTATACTTGATTTATGAGATTTTCATATAAAATGCATACTTGTGTAAATATGTTTAGACATTACATGACTTGTCTTAATATGGTTTAGTATACTTGGAAATGTATGCTTGTACATTATATAACATGTTTTAACATTGCTTAGTATACTTGAGCATGTATACTTTTATGCCGTAGTCTATTTTAATTGCATGAGTAACTTTAGATGCTCCCTGAGTTTAACCTTTGACATAGACTTTAGGTGGCATGACCCTTTTGAATTGTTTCAAGTCAATGTAAAAATCTCTAAAGAAATCGAGTCATGCATGCTCATTCTCTACGAGTAAACTTGTTTACGCATCCCGAAGTTACTGGGGGGCTGTTTCAAGTATGAAGACTTGGTGCGTGATGCTCATCATCGCTTTGATGATAGTTAACTTGAAGGCTTTAGTTCTTGTAAAGGTTGGGTTGAAATGCCATTTGTAGCCTTAATTGTCAAAATGTGTATTTTTGATTCGATATATGTAATGTGTACGTAAGTACACCCTTTGTAATGTATTTTACATGTATGAGATGAGGCCGGAGGCCAATAACATGTATTTTGTATCCTATGAAATTTTTGACCTTATGAGATTTCGTGAAAATATTGAAAAATGTCAAGTTTTTGTTTCACCATGTTTGCATTGGGTGTGGGAATTCCATTTTGATTCTTCCTTAGGATCTCATTAGTCGTGTATGAAGTGTGGCCAAGGGCCAAATGGTCATTTGAAGTCATTTGTTGACTCTAGTTTTCAAAGTTTCCATTTTAGGTTCATTTTCGCCTTTTTGGCCGTTGGGGGGTCGGATTTTGACTCGGCCATTTCCGGGAGCCATGGACCATTCCCGCACGCTCAAAATCACTTATTACGTGTGCATACATATTCGTTTCAGCTTAGAAGTGCATTTGGGGTTAAATGTATGCTTGGTGCAAAGTTGCATTTTTGCCGTTTTGAGCCTAAACTGATCTAAGGGTATTTTGGGGATTTTCTTTGGGAAATAAATTCCGTTCTTAACTCCATCACATAGAAAATGTGATTTTAGGGGGAGTTTCCTTTTCATGTTTTTCCGAAAAATGTTATCTTGACCTTATAAACCGTGCTCTAAGTTCAATTTGCTGCTAAAAACACTGTTCCTGCATTTTTTGAGGTTCCAGCACATGCCACTGCCCCATTTGGCTGGCGCCCGCAGCCATTTGGTGGGTGCCCGTGGCTTACTGCCACATTTGGCGGGCCCCCACAAGTTTTTGGCAGGGCCCCTCGTGCATTGTTCCTGCTCTAGACATCTTTCTTCAACGGGCCATATCTCGCTCGTTTTAACTCCGAATTGGTCCGTTCTTGAGTCTAAATTGACCGTGTCAAAACAAGCTTTCCAATGGTACCAATTAGAGCTTCAGATTACTCTTGTAGCTCAAGATATTCAAGTTTTAGTAAGGTAGTGTCAGAATTTGGTTCGAACCGGGGTCGGGTTTCCCTTCTTTCGACTTCAGGACTTTATATATTTTCCGTCCGGACTCCGAATCAGGTGATTCTTGAGTCTAAATTCATTAATTTTTTGTTTTCTTTCCAATGGTACTAGTTTTAGTTTCAAAATTTTATCATAGCTTAAGATATCCTTATTTTAGTAAGAGGGTGTCGGATTTGGTTTAAACCGGGATATGGTTCATCTGGGATTTCTCTTCCTTTGGCCTTGGGACTTCATGTGAAGTTACCAAAAGGTGTTTTAGGATGTTTTAGATCTAATTTGACTTATTGAAAGTTAAATTCCTTCCTCTTAGGGTAAAATGACCGTTTTACCATTTTACCCCTAGCTCTTCTTTTGTAGGGTTTTGATTCCCTTCTCATCATTTTGTTTCCATTGAGTCTCAAAACTCTTTGAGAGTCCATTCTTGTGCCCTAGGAATGACGTACATCTCTAAGGACTTGTCTTTGTCTTGCTTCCTTACTTTATTTATTTGAATTCCGTGGCTTCATAGGGAGTCATCGTGGTGTCTAGGGATGTCGTACATCTCTTAAGGTCATTTTGCTTCTTTTGCTTCCGCATCTTGGATCCGGTTTAGGTCATCACAGGACACACTGGGTTGAAAAATTCAGGGTCGTTACAAGTTCGATCGATCGAACTTCCCAAATCCCGAGAAAATCCAAATTCCAGCTCATTAAAAGTTATCTCATAACCAATCATTGGAGGAATATTTGGTGTACGAGCCCAGCTTATTTGGTGTGATATTTGACCTACCTATATAAAGAATATGAGCCACTTTTTGAGATATACTTAGATACTTAGAGAGGGGAGATTTGGAGAGAATTCTTAGTGGGGAAGCAATGGAGAAGAGGAGGCTAGAGACACCATTGGAGGCTCTTCATCAACCAAGGAGCAGATTTCTTCATGGAGCTTGCCCTTGAGGGTTGGAAGACATCATCCATGAGTGGCTAGACATCTTTTTTGGGGCTAGAGTTAGCCCTAAGCATGTTTTCTACATCTTGATTTATGTATTTTTGAGGGGATTTGTATTGTGATACATGTTTTGACACTTATATATATATACATCTTATTTATTCAATGATTTATGTGGTTTAATGCTTCCAATTGATCACTTCATTCTCTCCATATGTCTATGTATGCTAGAATAAATGTTCATGTGTTTGTTTCTATTTCTTGTGTTATTGATGCATGTTTATGTGTATTAATGCTATAGATCTAGAGATTATCAAGACATAGTGCTTAATGGAATGTTCTTGTGGTTTATTTGATGGTTCATACTCATTTCTTGATGGATTGTACCTCTCCCTTAATTTAATTAATTTAATTTCATGTCATTAGTTTAATTGTAGTGTAATTATAATTTAGATGTTAAATGGGAGGACAATTTTGTTGATGTTCCATACTTATGAAAGCAAGTAACATATATCTCTAACCTTGTGATGTGTTTGGTTGGGAGCTTAAAGAAAGAATTAATGGCTTAATTTGATATGTTGTGCTATCCACCATGTTGCTTAGACAATATATGCTTAATTTGTCATCCATGCTTATTGAAACAACCACACACACACTCTTTGTTGCAATATATGTTTTTCCCCTCATTAATCATTCATTAAGGGTGTAGAAAAGTTATACTTAGTGGTGATCTCTAAACCCCAAGATCTCTCTATCTCTTTTATTCTCTTTATTGTATTATTGTTTACTTTAGTTTAAATTGCATTTTAGTGTAATTCAACCACCAACCAATCTTTTGATCACTCGACCTACTAACCCTAATCTTGATTCCTCAATCTAATACGACTCATTAATCCCGTGGGACGATCCTTACTTGCCCTAGCTATATTTTTAGTGAAAGGTAGTAGTGACAATTTCTAAATGTAAAACTTGGCCACATTCTTCATAGCTCTACACCACTATCTTTTAGTGCAAACTTTGGGTCGGTGTGCAATAACCCACTATGTTGATTTTATTGGTATGGTGTGACTTGGTTGTAATTTATTATTTTGTTTATGTGCTTAGTGTAATTAGTTTTGTTAATTTAAGTTTTTATTTAATTATTTAATTTATTTAAATTAATTGGATTTGGGCTTAAGGGAAGTTGGACCAAAAGATGTGGTCTTGGGTTTGTATGAAGCCTTATTGAGTTAATTAATAAAGGCCCATGGTAATTTAATTATTTAAATGATCATCCAAAATCCCTAATTAATAAAGGCAGATGTAGATAAGAATTGTGCTTAACTGCCACTTTTGAATTTAAACTCCACCAGTATGCATCTTCTCCCTTCTTTCTTTCTCATGTCGCCATATGTCCATAACTGATCCCAAATCTCTCAAAGTAAATTTAAATTGGAAACCCAATTGTAATTGAATTGCTTTAAAACAATATCACCGTATATGCATATCCCTTAATCAAACCATGTAAAATGACAATACAGGCACCAACAGATTTATATTTGGTAGTTACGAAATCTATTTTTATCGTTGAATGAGAGTAATAAATTTCAACGTATCATATAACACATAGCTGAACAAAATAATTTAATTTAAGGGTGTAAACAATTCCCCCCATTTAAATGATTTTTCGGCCTTTAAAATGATAAGAAAAATTATTTAAAATAATTCAAACCAATTTTATCTTATCAAAACCCAGCTGTCATCTTGAATAAATGTGATTATATTTACTTCTGAAATAAAATCACTTGCTTTCATAAATGTCATTAAACTCCGTTGACTACCCATTTCATTATTCCAAAGCTTTTAGCCTATCTTTACCTGTTGGCTTTTACGCTTCCCCTTTGCAAATCAAAAGTTTCATCTTCATCTACTCTGTTAATGGCTTCGTCTCACACAAGTCAAGCGATTGAAGATGATAACAGTTCCGAAGAATCCACTCTTTTGGCACATCCATTTGATAGGAGCAAAGCATCTCACAGTAATCAAATTTATCCATTCATCATTAAAGAAAATACCCAAAAATAGGTACTTTTCAAAGCTTCGACTTCTTCTCTAGGATTAGGACCATGTTTCGTTGATAATATAGTCCAAGAAATTTCTGATTTCTATCCCTTAGTGGAGAGAAAGTTACCCTTTGAACATGAATATCTTTCTTTTTTTGATAAGGGAAAATTAAGAACTCCTTCATTTTCCTTCAAGAATTAGCTTAAAGCTACACCTGATTGGGTAGCTTGGGTAGACCAAATGGAACCTATTAAAGGAAATTCATAGAAGAAACTAGGGATTTATGATGCAATCATGTTCAGCAAAAAATCAATTTGTTTAGGTAAACCTCTTGTATTTTCAACCTTAATGTTTTGGTTTGTTTTGACCAATTCATTCCACTTCAACTGTGGCATGATGGCCCCAACCATACAAGATGGTTGTTTTCTCACTGGCCTTCTACCCAATGGAGAAGAAGTTAGTGGAATTTTGGTCTCTAGAAGAAAATACACATACGTGCCTAAGCCCGAAGTACCCAAGCGTAAGACAAAAGCCAAAACCCAAATCATCACCTTCATCTAAAAAGAAAAACAAACACCTTTCTGCTTCTGGCCCCTTTGTATCTTACTGGATGAAAATAGGAGAAGTTGAGTATGCTGAATATGTTTCTTTTCTAATTTATTAGCTCAGTAAATTCGTATTTTGTGTATCCTCATTGAGTATTACCAAGGATTTCACAGAAATTGCTCTAGCTCTTGTTGATGAAAGAAAACTTGTCTTAGCTCCATTAGTCCTTTCTCATCTTTACAGAGGGATTTATGAATTTGTTCGTACTAAATTTACCTCTGTTGGTGGACCTTTCTGGTTGTTGCAGTTCTGGTTACAAGCTTACTTTCATGAGTTAGGGCCTCAAATTAACCATTTAGAGCTCCATCGAGTGCATGGTTATTATTACTTGGAAGCCACTCCCACGGACCAAACCTTTGACCATTGTTTCAGTGTTTTCTATAATCATATGTCAACTTGGTCGCCCCAAAACATCACACCCTTTAACCCGAGGAAAATAGGACCAGAATGGTTATTGTTAGAACCTGGAAAAGCAACATCTGAACAAGAAAATGAATAAGATGCCATTTGGGGCTGCTTTTTAATTGCCAGAAATCTTCATTTTTCTCCTGCCCCTCTTTCATCAACAACCCATAAGTGTGGAACAGAGTATTACAATGCATCCTAGTTTGCGAGGCAATTTGGTCTTCAACAACATATCCCATTACCTCCAATTACATCAAGCAACGTATGCTTCAATAATAGATATTTTTTCAAGCAAAGGGAAAATGTTGAAAAAGTAACCGAATACTTTGAGTCGACCAAAACAGATTTGAAACTAATCCATTTCAGCAACAAGCCATCTGCTACACCTTCATTTAATAGTTAGTGGTCAGATCATGTCAATAAAACTCGTACCAAACCTTTGGTTGAAATTCTTGACCGGTTGAAAAAATATTTTGAAGCAAGTTTGAATGATAATCGAAGGAATAAAAGGCTTCTTAAAAAATCAACTCAATCAAAGGCTATCTTAAGTGTTCAAACAAGCCAGTTACCAAGCCCTACATCAACTTCTCAATCAACGACTTCAGCACAAGGTGTTAAATTTCTGAAACAGCCAAAGCCAATAACTATCAAAAGTTTAAGCTTTGTTTGTTTTGTTTCATCTATCTAAATCTTGATTCATTTGCTGATTAATGCTTTTTCACAGGGAAAAAACTGAAACCCACAAAAGCTACTGGAATAGAAGATCAAATTCCAGTTCAGGAAAAAATTTCCAAAACTGTTTGGAAAAAAGGTAATAGGCTTTATTTCTTTCGAACACATTTTTGGTCAGGTTTAAAATGATTTTGTGACTCGGATAAAATGAACAGGTCATTTTGAAGATGCAATAAAAAAGAACCAAGGTGAACAGTGTGGTTAAGAGGAAGGAAAAGAGGTGCACAAACCAGCCAAAAGGGCTAAGAGAAAACTTGTATGGTTTATTTATTCTTACTGTAATCTCAGCAACTTGGCAATTTACACACAATTCCTAACTCTCATTAATTTGCTCAGGTACAAACCAAATCCATTGGAACTAGAAATGCAGTAAAAAAGAAATTAGTGTCAGAAGAAGAAATTGAGAAAAACAAAGAAGAAGTTCAAGAGAAAGAAACTGAAGAAGTTGATTTGGAAAAAATGAATACTGAAGAGGCTTCCACCAAAAAAAAAATCAATTCTGATGAAGCAAAAACCTTGGAAAATCTAAAATTTTCTCTTCGAGAAGAAGCTGAAGTACAAGGAACTTGCTAAGAAACTAAAATCTTGATTAAAGTAAGTAAAAGAATTTATTTAGATCTTTCTACTTCTTATCTTCAAAGAATTTTGGAAATATTTGTGTATACTTGGCTGACAATCATCAATCTGATATTTGAAATTTCTTACAGAAAAATGAAGGAAGTGCCATCGATTCATCTCCAGCATTCATCACCGAAACAGATGAATATATTTCCAATTTAATACTTTCAGTAGAAACCAAAACTCTTTAAGATTCAGAGTCTACTGACTCTATCACAACTTCTATTTCAAAGAATTTCATTGGTGAAGCCAAAAAAATTGTAAAGACTATACTCTCTGGCACCTTTGAAGATTTGATGAATGATTTTGATCGGTTCGACAGCTCTCTTTTAACACTTATTAATTCAGGAGAATTTGGTCCAGAGGTGTTAAATAGAATGAAGTATTTTCAACTACAGTTGGCAACTACCATCAACAACTTCAAGTCTTCTTCTGATAATCTTAATGAAATTGAAGTTGAGCTAATGGATGTCAACAAAGATAAGGAAGAGATTGGGAAATAGGTAAAGATTGATCATGTTAACCTTCAAAAAGCCCAAGATGCTTTGGATGATATAGCTAAAGAATTTATTCAGCTGAGTACCAAATTGAACCAGTTAGCAACTGTCAAAGAAAAAGCTACAGAAGAAGTGACCAATTCTCAAGCAAAGCTGTCAAAACATAGTGGTCCTTAAACAGAAGAAAAACGCTGAAGACGTTTTGTCTTTGGTTCAGTTTGAATGGGAGCAACTAAAGAAATCCTGTGATTTTTAAATTTCTTTTGAAATTCTGGATGACTGTAATTCGGCCATAAGACCTAAACAATTTATTTTGTTGCATGTTAAGTCTACTCTTATTTGTTATTTTGAGATAACTTCTATCTGGCCTTGAATACTAGTACCCAATTAATAACCAATCGATTTATTTAAGCTAAATGACTTTTAAACATAAATTTCAACCTTCATAAAATGATTGGTTAATGAAAATTCGCTAAATTTCAACCAAATCCCCCTTTTTTGGTGTATTTGAGGCTTGTTGCTCCCCATATATACTTCATAAAATGAAGGACTAAATTTCTTTAAGTAATGACCATTGATAAGATTAGGACATACCTTACCATAAGAATCCTTTAGCCTATAAACACCTCTTGATTGAACCTGATCAACAATATAGGGACCATCCCAAGTAGGAGACCATTTTCCCAACTCCGGATCTTTCTTCCCTAATGGCAAGATAGTCTTCCAAACTAGATCACCTTCAGCAAATGATTTGTGTTTAACCTTTTTATTGTAAGTCTCAGCCACTTTTCTTTTCTGCACCTATAAATGATTTAACGCCTCCATTCTAACTTCATCCAGCCCTTGCAATTCTATGCACATAGCTTGTGTATATTCTTCAAGATCTAAATCCATTTGACGTGCAACCCTTAGGGACCAAACTGTCATCTCCATAGGTAAAACGATATCATACCCATATACCAAAGAATAAGGAGTAACTCCTGTACTTGATCTCTTAGATGTTCTCAATGCCCATAAAGCCTCCGATAATAATATGTGCCACTCTCTTGGATTTTTGTCAACCATTTTTTCAATAGAGGCTTTTATTGACTTATTTAATGACTCGGCTTGTCCATTACCTTGTGCATAATAAGGTGTTGAATTCAATATTTGAAAATCATATTGCTGAGCCATTACTTCAACTTGATGGCAAATAAAGACTGAACCTCTATCAGCCGTAATTGATTCAGGAATACCAAATCTGTGGATAATATGTTGCTCAATAAATTGTACAAGACTATCACTTGTGACCGATTTGGCTGGTACAGCTTCAACCCATTTCGTAAAATAATCTGTCGCAACAACAATATAATAATGTTGTTCTAATGATGAAGGTCGAAGTTTACCAATCAAATCCATTGCCCAACCCCTAAATGGCCAAGGTTTAATGATAGCATGAAGGTCTTCGGCTGGAACTCTTTGAAGAGGTCCGAACTTTTGACATGTTTAACAACCCTTTGCATAATCTATACAATTTTTCCACATTTTGGGCCAATAAAATCCATGTCTACGAATCAACCATTTCATTTTTGGCCCTGCCTGATGTGCCCCACATAACTCTTCATGAACTTCTATCATAACTCTTAACGCCTCAAATTCTCCAAGGCATTTAAGCAATGGCTCTTTCATAGCATTCTTCTTGTACAACACATCATCTAATAAAACATAGCTTGAGGCTTGGCATTTAACCTTTGGGTTAACATTAGGTGTTGGATTCTTGAGATATTCTACAATCGGTTGCCTCCAATCATCCTCTTTAATTTGAGGATTATAAGATTCAGCCTCTAAAGGAAAATTTCTGGCATAGCTTGTTCTGTATCTTGGGCTGATAGTAATGATCTTTTTTGAATTTTTACCAATCTAACCATTAATTCATCTGGCACTCTTAGACCGGATGCAAGTTGAGCCAAATCATTGGCCTCTTTATTGTAAGCTCTTAGGACATGTTGAATTATTACATCATCAAAGCGACCCAATAATTGCATAACAATTGAATGTAGAGGTCGAAGATTCCAATTCAAACAACAAAAATCATTGGAAATTTGTTTAAGTACGAGTTCAGAATCTCCAATAATTTTAACGGCTGGAGCTTTCATTTCTAACAATATTTCAAGGCCGATTATTAATGCCTCATATTCAGCCTGATTATTAGTACATTTAAAATTCAAAAAGAAAGAGAAAATTGTTTTTACTCCTTTTGGAGATATAATAATAACACCTGCTTCAGCGCCATCTCTGGTACTTGAGCCGTCAAAAATTAAAGTCCAAGGAGTTAGGCTGATTGAACATGTTTCACCTAGCTCTGAAATTTCAGGACTTATTTCAACGCATGGGTGGTCAACAAGGAAATCGGCCAAAGCTCTCCCTTTTACTGATTTTTGAGAAGAAAATTGGAAAGTAAATTCCATGAGGGCTAATGACCATTTTTCGATTCGACCACTTATGATCGGCCTTGATAACATGTACTTAATTGAATCAGTTTGGCACATAATATAAACAAGTACTGGTTTCATATAAACTCTCAGCTTAAGCACTGAAAAATATAAAGTTAAACATAATTTCTCAATCGGCGTATATTTTTGCTCGATTGGAGTAAGTACATGGCTTAAATAATACACTGTTTGTTCAATACCCCACTCATTCTCTTGGGTCAACAAGCTGCCGATTGAATCTTCTGCCGCTGAAATGTATAACTTCAGGGGTTGATTCTTCCTTGGTGGCATCAACACAGGTGGTCGAATAAGATATGACTTAATAGCCTTAAACGTTTCTTGGTGTACATCCTTCCAAATGAACTCATCTTCTTTCTTTAGCTTCAGCAATGGTGAGAATGCGTGCACCTTTCCTACACAATTAGAGATAAAACGTCGAAGGAAATTTATTTGTCCAAGCAGCCGTTGAAGCTCCTTTTTATTTTTTGGCGGTTGAGCCTCTATAATAGCACTCGCTTTATTTTTATCAATTTCGATCCCTCTCTGATGTACTAAAAACCCCAAAAAAATTCCAGCAGTTACTCCAAAAGCACATTTTAGCGGATTCATTTTTAACCTATGTGCTCTCATACTGTCACAGGATTTTCTAAAATCGATCAAATGTTTAAATTTGGAAGGAGATTTCACTACAACATCATCAATATAAACCTCTATGAAGTGACCGATCATATCATGAAATATAGAATTCATCGCTCTTTGGTAAGTTGACCCTGCATTTTTCAACCCAAACGGCATCACAACTCATTCAAAAGTGCCAATTGCTCCAGGACATCTAAAAGCTGTTTTAGCCACACTTTCTTCAGTAATATAAATCTGATTGTAACCTGAATGCCCATCCATAAATGACAAAATTTCATGTTTGGCTGCCGCATTAACTAATTGATCGGCAATAGGCATAGGATATTCATCCTTTGGAGTGGCTATATTAAGGTTATGAAAATCAATGCAAACTCTTGACTTACCATTTTTCTTCAAAACAGGAACAATATTAGAGAGCCATTCACAATATCTAGCCGTTCGAATAAAACCAGCGCCTAATAGTCTTTTAACCTCTGCTTTCATTTTCAAAACAACATCAGGGGCCATTCTTCTAGGAGGTTGTTTAAAGGGCCGAAATCCATCCTTTATCGGCAACCTATGTTCTACCAAGTGTCTAGGTAAACCTGGCATCTCATCATAATCCCATGTAAAACAATTTTATATTCCTTTAACAAGGCAATAAAGGTTGTTTACGTAAATGGATTCAATGAGGCGTTGATATACGTTGGCCGAGGTTCTTCTTTTGATCCAAGATTAATTTTAAGTAATGGGTCTTCGACATCAGCCTTGAAATCTTCTAATTTTAAAGGAGCAGCCTCTAAATCTTTCAACTGAATTGCATCTTCGGCCATTATTTCTTCATCCATTTATTGTTCAGCGGCTAAGTCAACCGCATTAACCATTCGGTCGCTAATCACCATCAACCATTTTTCTGTTAAATAGGCACGAAGTCTGGCCAAACTCTGCTGAAGGGCCAGCTCCTTCTCTTTCTTCTTTGTAGAGGCGTCAGACATCATCAAGTTCTGTTAAAGTAGCCTTAGCATCCGACCTTTGAACAAAAACTGTAGTCAGTCGCTCAAATTCTTCAAAAAGTTCATTAATATCTCTTGGGGTTATTTCCTTCTTCCATGTTGCCCCCCAAGGATTCCCTTGATTTTTAGTTGTAATTAGCCTAATAAGGCCGACATCATCCTCATACAATTGTGCTTCAGCCGAATTGACACTTGCCACAAACGGTTGTTTATCTGCCCACACTATCTCCACTTCATCTCCATTCCAAAAAATTAAAAACTGATGTAGTGATGAAGGGATTGCATAAATGGGGTGAATCCAATCTCGACCGAGTAAAGCATTATAAGCTGCATCAGTCTCTACCAAAAAGAAAACTGTCATAGATGTTTTTCTTCCAACCATTGTTTCTAGCGAAAGAACTCCTTTTGCTTGAACCACTGAACCAGTAAAACCGTTGACAGTTAGATCAGTCGGCACAAAATCATCCTTTGTTTTATTTAAAAGTTTCATTATCTTTGTAGATACCATATTAACAGTTGAGCCATTTTCAACTAGCACCCGGGAGATCGGAACTCCTTCCAACCAGATTTTGATGTAAAGTGGCCTTAAGTGCTGACCTGTGATGGTAGTTGGTTTCTCCAAAATTACTCTTGTTGGGCCACTTCCTACTAAAGTTTCCTCTAATTGGTATTGAACCTTATTCTTCACTAACATAACCTTTGATTGTTCAATAGGTGTTGAAAGTTCTGACTGGCGATTAAAACCAACAATTTCTGGCACTTCTTCACTATCTGGTTCTTCAACATCACCACTTAACTTACAAGATTGATCAGGTTTTGCCTCAAATATCAATGGTAAAATAAATGTCATATTGCAGCTACTAATTGTTTTAATAGAACCAAATTGAATCTCATTCATTTCATCATCAAGCAAATCATCATCATGCAAATTAATATCAACCATTTCTTCATCTTTGTCTTCTAAGTTATTTGTCATATCAAGCTTAACATTATCAAACTTCTTAGCACAAGATGACATACCCAAGGCTGACTCTGATTTTGGCCTTATTTATTTCAAACCTTCTTGAGTCATTAATGCTTCAACCGTTTTCTGCTGATTTTCTTTGTCACTTCTTCTTCGCCAATTGACCTACATCTCATCTGATTGAGGGGCCAAATCCTTTGCTTTAGCTTTCTTTCTTCTAGCCTGAAACCTCTGTATTCTTCTCTTTTGAGTCTTGGTCATTAGCGGCTGAAACTAATTTTTAATTTCAAAAAACTTGGGATGATGAACAATGGCCCAGTCTTGATCTTTGAGAATTGGAGGTTTAACCATCCTAGACTTCGGGTTGATCTCCAATGTGTTGGAATTGTAACTTTTCGGCCCTTCATGACCCAAGCAGTTAAAATCTCCTATTGGTCCGCTTGGCCTATAGGCAAATTTCCTTAGTCCCCCAAACCTAGTAGGTGTTAAGGGCCTAGTAGTATTATTCCTTGATGGACCTTTCCCTGAATGATTTGTTCTCCAAAAAGTTGAAGAACTTGAACTTGCCCCCCCTAGGGAAAGTTAATCTTTCAGTCATAGGGTGTCGATGTTGATCTGAAATTCTTGCACGTGGAGGTAATGGAGGCTTGGTTATAACACTTTTGAGCCTAGGAGTTGAACTTTTATCTTCTTCAATTGATTTCCCTTTGGCTTCATCATTCTTGATTGTACTCCAGTCTTTTCGACATTTTGGACAACATCATTGTTTGATAAGATCAAGTTGTGCCTTAATTAATTTTTTCTCCATCTCTTTAATGGCCTTCTTATGTTCAGCCACTGTTGCTAACTGTTTTTCTTCTGATTTTTCAGTTCCTCCAGAATTAATATTATCACTTTTATCCTTTTTGAGCGGTTGATTGAAATTTGCAACTGAAATCATGTTATTAGCCGTAATGGCTGGAAATAGATCAACATCAACAACCATTTTTTCCTTGTTCTTCTCGGGGAATCGAAGCAACTTTTTATCAATCAAACTCTGTATTTTATTACGAAAAACAACACAATTGTTAGTTGAATGACGATAAGAATTATGCCATTTACAATAATCTTTTCCTTAAATTTCACTAGCAGGTGGGACTTTCTGACCCTTTGAAAGGACAATGACTTTATTAGTCAGCATATGGTCAAAAATCTCATCTGCTTTTGAAATGTCAAAGGCATATTGCTTCCCAACCCCAGGCATAATTTTATTAGTTATTGATTCTGATGATTGGGAGCCACTAACAACGTCTACAGGCTTTCCAAGCACCTTACAAGTATAAGGCTTTTTAG